GTCAAAAAACCGCAATACAGTTTAATTTGCACTGGATTGTTCACATGATTGAGATCAGTGCCTTCATATATGGGCTCCCAGAAGGCTTAGCGGGACACATTTCGAGCGCGTCCTTTGGAAATTTTATAACGCTGGTTGATAAATATTATATGGCCAGTTTTCTTAAAATATTTACGAAAATATGAAGAAATACTCCAGTTTTTGAAGGTCCACACAATAATCTTAAATGTAAGTGTTAAACTATGTCAATATTTTGAAGTTTCGTGTGTAAATATGTGCCATAAATAGTTGTATTCATGTATATTTTTAACCGCCGTGCCGTTGGTCGCATTTGTATTTTGTATTGGGTTCAACAATATATTGTTACGAAAATACTTTAAAACTTAGTGATATTGCTTTGTATTTACAGATTATAATTCCAAGCAATAAATATTGTCATAATATGTGCTCCAAAGCAAGTCGAACTGTCGAAATCATGATACCTGTAAATGTATTAAAACGACAACAAACTAGAATACTACAGGCTACAAGAAGGTATGAATATAGTTTAATGTATTGAGACGGTATCAATATTGATTCATTTAGCTAATATTGATATAAACACCAAAGCAAGTTCTATAGCTTTGTATGAGAGGAGAATAATTCCTCCTCTGTGTTTAATATTTATATTGTGCCTATCAATAGATTCCAGACAACCCCCAAATATACATATTGCTGAATTCCCTGAATACATTCAGGATATATGATGCTTGTGATGTTACTCTGAGTGCATATCCACACCGGGCAAGCTTGAAAAATATGCCTGACCACGGTGGGAATTGAACCTACGGTCTTTGGAATACTAGCCCAATGCTCTGCCAACTGAGCTACGCGGTCAGGTCGGTTCAAGTACCGGTATGTGATATTTCGGAACAGAATCTAGTTCTTTCAATATCAATGTAATCTAGTGATCATATTCACCTGAGTACATTACACCGACACAGAAAAAGTCATCCAGGATATATGTTTTTCATAATTTTTTCTGTGTTGGTACATTGGGCTAGTATTCCAAAGGTTCTAGGTTCGATTCCCACCGTGGCCAGGCATATTTTCAAGCTTGCTCGGTGTGGATATACACTCTGAGTAACATCACAAACATCATGTTTGTCATAGTTATACCTCTGAGGAATTCCAAGCTCAAAAATTATATATGATCCCCTGATTGCCCTGAAGAAATATCCCAATATGCTAAGTACTATGCAGACACTAACATGGCATAATGCCATAATTAGTAAATGTTTATGACTTATGAATCAAGTTCAGGGCCGTAGCTAGACGCGATAATTTGGGTGGTGTATATTCATATAAATAAATTCATGTTCACATACCGTAAAAACAATCGCTTTCAAAAGAAATCCATCTGGGCAGAGCACGAATATATGAATATACCCCCCCTCCCCAATTATCGGTCTAGCCACGGCCCTGGTCAAGTTGTGTGTTTATATGGAACCGAGGTAGCCCAGATACCAGAGTTCATTGTACATAGTGTTGTACCAACAACCAAGTAGAATTTCATCCATGTTTACTTGAGACTTTTCAGGCAGGTCAGCTCAAAGCACCTGTCTTTATTGCTATATAAGAGCTGTTTACATTGCCCTCTGAAAATGTACCATCGTACGGAACAGATAAAATGACATTCTTACTGAGTGAATTTACCTGTGCTTGGACAAAGGTTTGAAATGACTATATATACCGGATATCATATCCAGGCTCAGGGCTGCCGAGAGAATTTGCAGGGCCCTGGGCAAATCTTCTCTGGGGGCCCCATGACTAGACCTTAGCTAGACTGCATGTTGAGCTACTGTAAGTGGCCCTCAATTTCAAAAATGCTCTCATCAATTTAAAGGACCTACTCAATTTTAGGCTCTCAAGTTGGGGCCCTATTAAGGTTGGGGCCCAGGGCAATTTCCCCCTCCCTCTATTGGCAGATAGTGAGATAATCTTACTATCCAGTATATTGGCAGATACTGGATTTGAAACTTTGTGGGCAAGGCTTTGGCAATACCCATGTTTAGAATGAAGTTATTTCCTATGATTTCAAGTATCTTTTCAAGTCAAAGTATTATAAACACCCTGATTTTATAATCAATTAAACTAATTATTTATCTTAAATGAAAGTCTAAACCTTTATATCAACAGTATCCAGTATTCAGCCGGATAATGCGGATATCTTTCTTTCAACTATCCGACATAGCTGAAATCTGGCTGGATGTCAAAAATGTCTATCTGGTGCAGCCCTAGAAATGACCAAATGCCAGGTGAACGTCAATTGTGACCAATTGTTTATCTGGCAACCAGGTATTTGCTAAAGGTAGCCCTCATTGTGACTGAGAAAAAAGTTTAAAAAAGACAAGTGTATAACTTTAATAAAAATATTGACTTAGGCTAATGAGGTTTTGGGGTAATTAGTTAGGATTATCTACAAATTTTACTTGGACTGTAGACAAATTGGCACAGGAGGGCATGTTCTGAAAGGGAAAAGCTGGCATTGTATAACAGACCCTGAGACACACAGCAAGCTAGAACTGGTTGAATTTAAATGTGCTTCAGAATCAGTTACTTTGAACATATTGTATGTCATTGCAACTTTAGAGTTGTGTGTTAATTATTTCCCTGCTGCTACCATGAGAATGAAATTATTATGCATTAGGGATGCACCTGATAGAACATTTTACTATTCAGCCGAATACCATATATGCCGAACGGATGGAAAATATCCTACCAGATTATCCGGCCAAATACTGGATATAGAGTGATTATAAAATATATGTAGGATATATAAAATAAGATATAAACTTTAAAAATGTTGGAAGCGAAACCAGGATTCTCTGGTTAAAAAGATTTATTTATTACAAGCGTTTGACTGCCAGTCTGCAGACGGAGACCCGTCGAAGACTGCAGACTGGCAGTCGAAAGCTTGTAATAAATAAATCTTTTAACCAGAGAATGTTTACACAATTAAGATATAAACTGTTTATAAAGTGATGCTATTTATAATATATTGATTTGAAATGATACAAAAGAACTTCACAGTGAATTAAACTTAAAGTGCCCAAATATACATGTACTATGTTTATTATTTACTGTGACTAAAAATGTTAATCCCAGAAAAGTTTACTCCTCTGGTTAATTGGTTTTAAATGGTCTCTCTGCCAATGTGCCTTGTTTAAATCATACTATGCCCTAAACCACTCGACTTGCCCTAAAAAGTGTTACTTGTTGATAGTTTAGCCAGACTTTCCACCCAAATCTCAAATATTTACTCTGACATGTCACCAACAAAAAATTAGATTGGGTTTGTTCTATAAGTTGTTTGATACTTTCTCATAAACCCACAAAAGGTACAGTGCACTCTTTATAATAATCTCTAATGCAAAATAATTATCTTTCAAGGGAACCTGCTGGCCATTAATGTTTAACGAAGGACAGTTGCACACCAAAACCTTTGTAGATTTTGTGCGCTACAATATAGTGATGTGTTCTTCTTCGACTGTGTCAAAGTGCCATTCAGCAAAGATTTTATTGGTTTCAAATCGCCTGTACTGGTAATATGAACTTTAATTTGGATTGTGACTGATATAAACTATGTTGAAATGATTCAACTGAATCGAAATATGTAACATAGACTATAGTTTTAAACTTTAAAAATATATAATTTACATTTGTACTTTCTATTCTCTTCATTGTTTTAATTTAGTAATTCAGTTAAATTGAGTTAATAACATACAATCTTAAGCAGCATTTATACAAAAAGGTATTTTTACATTACATTAAGTTTATATTGAATATAGCTACTTTAGACATCAATTGCATGTACATTTACATCACAAACCATATCAGTACAGCTGTATTCAGTAAGTACATAATGCAGTGTAAAAAGACCTTTGGAGGTGTTAGTTTACGCTCGTAGTGTAGATTAACACCAGTTGGTGTCCACACAGCTGCAAGGTGCTTTACACCAAAACAGCGTAAAAGTATCTTCGGAAATGTTATTTTACGCTCGTAGTGTAGATTTACACGAAATCGGTGTCCACACAGCTGCAAGCTATTTACACCAAAACCGTGTAAAAATATCTTCGGAGGTGTTATTTTACGTTCGTAGTGTAGATTTACACGAAATCGGTGTCCACACAGCTGCAAGCTATTTACACCAAAACAGTGTAAAAATATCTTCGGAGGTGTTATTTTACGTTCGTAGTGTAGATTTACACGAAATCGGTGTCCACACAGCTGCAAGCTATTTACACCAAAACAGTGTAAAAATACTTTCGGAGGTGTTATTTTACGTTCGTAGTGTAGATTTACACCAAATCGGTGTTCACACAGCTGCAAGCTATTTACACCAAAAGAGTGTGAAAAGATCTTGGGAGGTGTTATTTTACACTCGTAGTGTAGATTTACACCAATTCGGTGTTCACACAGCTGCATCTATTTAACACTGAAAAGGTGTATTTTAACACCAAAATGAGTGTAAGTAAACACTAAATCGGTGTCCACACAGCTGCAAGAATTTACACCGATTTCGGTGCTGTGGTAACACTCCCAGATTTACAGTGCATGTTCTGGGTGCAGGAATAGCTCACTTTTATAGTGTTTTTATTAAAAATTTTGTGTAGGCGATGGTCTTTTGGGAAGTGTTTTTCAACCAAGGATAAAAATTTGTTTCCGATGTTGGTCTTGAGACATTTGTTAAAAGGCGGGTTATACCAGATAGTTTTCCGTTTTCGGTTCCTTCTGTTGGTGTTTGTGCTAGTTTCATAGGACATTCGGTGGTTGAACCCGCTAGCGTGTAACGCTTCTTCATAGCACGGTTTTGCATTGTTGAATGCTTCCTCGTTGTGGGATAGTTGGGAGATGCGGCGGTTGACAGCCTCCGGTAGTTGCCGAATGATTGGAGGTGGATGGTTTGAATGGGCATTTATATAAAGTGGGCGGTCGTTGGGTTTTATGTATGGGCAGAATGTATCTTTATCTAGATTGAAAGTGATGTCGAGGAAATTCACGATCTTTAGGTTTGTTTTGATCGTTATCGACAGTCCTTCATCTTTGAATTGTTTCGTGATGTTTTTCTTAATTCTTTCGGCTTGTGGTCCCGAGATGTTTTCATATGCAGCCAGGCCATCGTCTCTATATAGCCCTATGTTTCCTTTAATCACGGTCTTCTCTGACAATTTGTTCAGCATATACAGGCCAACAAGCTCACATATTTCGGCCCCATCGTATGATCCCATTGTAACGTCAAACAAATTGTCACTCGCTCTCTTAGTCCATGCCGTGTCACCGTCGAAGAGGAGGGATTTTCTAGCGTGCATTATAATGTTCATATCTTTTTGCGGTATGTCAATAAAATTCTTTGCAAACTCGATAGCTTTCTTTAGTAGGCTTTCAGTGATAGATGGGTAGAAATTGTCAATGTCGAAAATTACAAATGTGTGGTTAGCTTTGTTTGGAATATTCTTGAACCATTCGATGACTGATGCCGAATTTCTCCATTGGTTTAAAACGGTTTGGCTTCGTATGCTGGTGTTTATTCTGTCCACAATATTTGCTTACAACACCGATGTCGCTCTTCGCGGGATTAACGAGGCGGCATTTTGAAAATAAGCCGTCTTGCCGCCTCATTAATCCCGCGAAGAGCGACATCGGTGTCGTAAGCAAATCTATTGTGGACAGAATAAACACCAGCATACGAAGCCAAACCGTTTTAAACCAATGGAGAAATTCGGCATCAGTCATCGAATGGTTCAAGAATATTCCAAACAAAGCTAACAACACATTTGTAATTTTCGACATTGACAATTTCTACCCATCTATCACTGAAAGCCTACTAAAGAAAGCTATCGAGTTTGCAAAGAATTTTATTGACATACCGCAAAAAGATATGAACATTATAATGCACGCTAGAAAATCCCTCCTCTTCGACGGTGACACTGCATGGACTAAGAGAGCGAGTGACAATTTGTTTGACGTTACAATGGGATCATACGATGGGGCCGAAATATGTGAGCTTGTTGGCCTGTATATGCTGAACAAATTGTCAGAGAAGACCGTGATTAAAGGAAACATAGGGCTATATAGAGACGATGGCCTGGCTGCATATGAAAACATCTCGGGACCACAAGCCGAAAGAATTAAGAAAAACATCACGAAACAATTCAAAGATGAAGGACTGTCGATAACGATCAAAACAAACCTAAAGATCGTGAATTTCCTCGACATCACTTTCAACTTAGATAAAGGTACATTCTGCCCATACATAAAACCCAACGACCGCCCACTTTATATAAATGCCCATTCAAACCATCCACCTCCAATCATTCGGCAACTACCGGAGGCTGTCAACCGCCGCATCTCCCAACTATCCCACAACGAGGAAGCATTCAACAATGCAAAACCGTGCTATGAAGAAGCGTTACACGCTAGCGGGTTCAACCACCGAATGTCCTATGAAACTAGCACAAACACCAACAGAAGGAACCGAAAACGGAAAACTATCTGGTATAACCCGCCTTTTAACAAATGTCTCAAGACCAACATCGGAAACAAATTTTTATCCTTGGTTGAAAAGACCATCGCCTACACAAAATTTTTAATAAAAACACTATAAAAGTGAGCTATTCCTGCACCCAGAACATGGCTAACATAATTAAATCCCACAACAATAGGATACTTAACCCGCGAAACAAGAACACGCACGAGAACTGCAATTGTAATACAAAAGAACAATGTCCACTTCAAAACAAATGTCTCGTCACAAACGTCGTGTATAAAGCCCATATAACCACGAATGACGACCCTCAAGGGAGAGATTACATCGGTCTAACTGAGGGAACATTCAAAAAACGCTTTACTCAACACAAGAGCTCTTTCAATAACATCGATTACAGCAACAAAACATCACTGTCAAAGTATGTGTGGAGTCTAAAGAACGAAGGAAAAGAACACAAAATCTGTTGGTCAAGCATTGACACAGCAAAGGCTTACAACAACGGATCCAACAAATGCGGATTATGCCTCTGTGAAAAGCTAGCCATCTTGAAAGGACGAAACGCACGCCTCTTGAACACACAAGACGAACTTATCTCCAAGTGTAGACATGAAAACAAATTTTACATACAAAATTATAAGAACGAGATAACATAAATTATTTTCTCGAGAGGTTTTAACAACTACGTATAGACTTTAAGTAGGTTTTGAATTAATTTACTAAATTTTAAATCAGTTGAACACTCGCATAGGTCCCAATAGGTTTTATTTAGACTGAACTTATGTAATTAGCACGGTAGCTTAGTATATAAAGCTCGTGTGCACCATAATCTATTGCTGTCTGACGATCGGTAATACGTGAAACTTAAGTAGCAGCACATTAAATTTTTTAAACTTTTTTATTTTTAATTTTTTTCATTTTGAACAACATATATATATATATATATATATATATATATATATATATATATATATATATATATATATATATATATATATATATATATATATATATATATATATATATATATATATATATATATATATATTTATATATATATATATATTGTAATATTGAATACAGATTTGTTTTTCCTTAAGCTTCATTTAGAAGAAAACGGGAGTCGCATTTGACAACTTTGACCGATTTGTAGAAACTTTGAGCGGAAAAGACACATTGCACGACACGGTTGGTATAGCTTATCAAATTCTATCAGAAGAAAAATCGACAATTGAAGAAAGTAGTGAGTCCGAATATGTTCGCGTGGTTGCATCTAGGAAAAGAAGGCGAAGAGCTTTTCAAGCAATTGGGTTAGATATACATGTAGAACCATACTGGAAGAAACCTGCAATGTTAACAGTTCCAGTGCTTCCCCTTGATGATCCGAGAAAGGCGTTTGAAGCTGAATCATATCTCAATGCAAGAGCGTACGATTCTTTATGGATGAAAGATTTCTGTTTTTCACCAAATGATACGCCAATGTGGGTCGAGTGGAATGCAAAACTTTTTAATGATACGCCAATGTGGGTAGGGTGGAATGCAAGCTGCACAATGCAGAAGACACCAAAGGTCAAATAATTAAATGAATTAGAGTCAAGGGTGAAAACTATTGATCCGCAGCACGTGGATATAACTATAATTGATGGAATGTTTTTCCTGCACCTTTTGGTTGATCTACCAGCGAAATTTGGAGCGGTTGCCACATTTATACTAAAGCGTATATGTGCTTGCAAGGGAAATGCTATCCATTTCGTTGCTGAAAAAATTGTCAACCCGTCTATTAAAGACTGTGAAAGAGATTTGAGGTGCACCGACCGCCATGGCGCATATCAGATTACTGGCCCCGAACAGAAAAGACCCTCAAATTCTTTAAGAATTCTTATCATGCTTCTGAGCAAGTGAAGTACACTCGACAATCCTTGGAAACAAAACTGTGACAATGAATTGCGGAGATCATTGCAACACTTTTAAAGTTGAAGATGGAGTGGTGGTCAAGAGAGAGCTTCGTGCAATGTTTTCAACTGATGAAGAAGCAGATTTTAGAATGCTGTTTCGCATATCGTCAGTGCAACCAATCGCCAATGTTGTGATAAGAACGATAGATACAAACGTGCTTGTAATTGCCCTTGGTTGTTTCAGCTCGCTACCTCAAGAATTGGATATTTGGATTGAAACTGGTGTTTATACGAAGAATACATTGAGATATATCAATGTGAATCAGATTTTTCAGGAACTTGGGCAAACCCTTTGCTTGGCCTTACCGACATACCATGCGTTTACTGGATGCGATTACACAGCCTCTTTTCGTCGGAAAGGCAAAGTTCGTCCATTAAAACTTCTTGAAGGAAGTGAAAGTGCGATTTAGGCTTTTGTGTCACTAGGGACAAATGCTGAAATAGCCAAAGAAACCATTGTATCCTTAGAAACGTTCGTTTGTAGCATGTATGGAAAAAAGAAATTATCCTCTGTTCATGAAATAAGGTTGGAATTGTTTTTGCAAAAGTATAAACCGAAAGGAAAAGATGAAGCACTAGCATGTTTCAAAAAGTTTGACGGGAGTTCTTTGCCATCTTGTTCTCGGGTACTGTATGAAAAGATTCACCGCACAAAGTATATTGCCGAACTATGGCTGTCGTCAACATCATCCGCTCCACCCGATCAATTATCTAAAGAAATGGGTTGGCAGATTGAAGATAGTCATTACACTGTGAACTGGTTGATGGGGAAGTGTCACCTAAGTCAATAGATATAACAAGTAATGAGGATGAATTTGAAGAAGAACTCACAGAAGAAGCTAAGTAAGCCAATATTGATTTTTTAATTGTACCTTGCTAATAAAGAATATCAACAGGGCCGCAACTAGCATGTATAGTTGGGGGGGGGGGGTTGTAGGCCAAAAATTTGCGAATGACGAAAAAAAAATTCGAATGGCCTTCGTGGCATACGAAGCCATGACGCAATTTACAAACAAAAATACGAATATTTTAAGCACAGACATATTACAGAAGCATGCAGTGCCGTAGGAAGCTCTTTTTGATTGGGAGGCTGGGAGCGAGGACCGAAGGCCCGAGGACAATTTTAAATTTAAAATCTTTGAAATGCCATTTTCTGGACTTTGGGGGAAATTTTGACAGAATTCTGATGGTCAGAAAACAGCGTTTCAGTATGTCAAAATTTGCTTGCAATTTAGTAGTACTAAATGGGTGAAGGTGTATTTAATTACTATATATTGGAGAAGACCGAAAAGTTGCAGGAAAGTATGGGTAATATGATTCTTTGCAGTTTGTGATGGATAATGTAGCCGCTTAAAATTAATCAATTGTCAGTATTTTAAAGGTATATTATTTAAATGATAAATAAAGGTCTGCATGATTTTGAAAAAAGAATGATTATTAGCGAATTATTGGGAGGGCTGCAGCGCCACCAAGCCCCCCGCTCGTTGCTACGGCCATGAGAAGTAATAAACCGAAAAATGTTATCCATGTAAATGCAGTGATTTCGTAAATCAATTTAAACTGACAAAGCAATTTTACAACATTTTCTCTTTTCAACAACTAAAATTTTGTTATACTATTATCGCCATAATTTTCCGAATGGCCAACCTCATTTTCCGAATATGTTAATTCTAAAAAAGTTGGGGGGGGGGCTAACCACCCCACCCCACCCAATACCCCCTCGCTACGGCCCTGCATATCGATTGTGACTTCTAAATTTGAAGGGACTACCAAACAAAAAAACTTATACTATATAACTTATACTTAAAAATATACTATATATATTATTAAGAACTAACCTCAGATGAAGAAGGAGACAACACTAATATAGCGATGACAGTGATAACACCGATAGTGAAAACTGAAAACAAAGAAAGCTGCCGCAAAAGGTTAGAGTAATTTCAAATATGTAAAATACGAATAACAAAACTGCAGTTGTTTATTTAATTATTATATTTTGTATTTCATGTAGATGCATGATGACCTTCAGTTGCAGAAGGTTTATGAACAGAAAGAAATAAACTCATAAAGAAAACAGATTTACATTATGTTATGTTCCTATTTTGTTGTCGATGTATATCAGGGCCTGATCAGTTGATTCCTGTTACTGACCATTTCTTTTCTTTCACTCTGATTTAAAAATTACGCAGAAAACTAAGTAAAAAACGTCGGCACGTTAACGACAAAATTCGTTACACCTGACCAGCCAGTTTATTTCTTCAAATGAACGCGAAGTATGTTTTTAATTTATAGTAAAATAGCTAGTAACCAGCTCAAGTGGTATAAGATCCTTTATTATTAGCATGACAAAATTACTGGATGCTGATTGGTTGAGAGGAGTACAATTATTTCATTAATTGTACTGCAGTACAATTAATGATTTTCCCCAAACAAACAAAATGGCGGAAAGTATTTTAAACACAAACGTGAACTGAAATTGCCCTAGAGGAACTAGATGAAAATACGAACAAAAGCACCAGATTTTGCTTTAACAAAAGAACTAAATGAAAATGCGAACAAAAGCACAAAATTTTGGTTGAAAGTCTGGCAGGACTGGGCTTTGGCGAGAGAATATGATGTTGATATTGAGAAGTGTCCAATTTTGTCATGCTAATAATAAACAAGTAATCATGCAATGTTGCTCGTACAATTAGGGATTAATAGTACTCGTGATGTTTGGAAATTTGCCAAATTGGACTCGCCCCGGCGGCTCGTCCAACTTTGGCAAAATTTCCAAACATCACTCGTACTATTAATCCCTAATTGTACTCGCCATCGCATGATTACCTATACTACAGTAATTACGAAATGTATTCAAAAGTTAGATTGGTATAGCTTTATTATATTCTTACCAAATACTTAAAATAGGTTAAAAAGTTGTCTGATATGACAAAGGAATCGTAATTTTTGGTAAGCTTTGTTGCCAATTGTACTGGGATTGCCAGTAAATGAGGCGAAAAACAGGTTTCAACTCACTTTAATTATCAAAATATGGAAAATTACAAAATAATAGATTTAGATAAAACACTGTTTTCCTTCGCACGCCATATTAGCTCCTATGCGCATGCTCTAACAAAACGTAAATAAACATCGTTCAAAAGGCGATCGCAGAGATTATTGTCTACAACTTTACTACAACCCAATACACCGGAAGGACTGGGGTCGATGCGATCGCGTCTTAAAATCTGAATGTAAATTTCTCTAATGCATTGTTCACTCAATACTATATAAGGGACCGGCCATTATTTATGGTGGGGGGTGGCACCGAAGAGAAATGTTTTTCGTGGCAAAAATTTTGCTGACCCAACCATTAAAAAATAAAAAATTTGATTACCCAACCTCAAGTATCATTTAAAAAATAAATACCCACCCCTGGCCAAAAACATTACAAAAGGATGTCATTCAGTTGTCACACATGTCCTTTACCACTGTGATACGAGTTTAATAACGTTCGGCTTGTGAAATTTACTGACTTTTCTGCAGTCTAAAGTTTCATGTTGTCTGCACATTTCCTTTCTTTGGAGACATCATTCGTCTCTCAATAAATCGGAAAATGATGAAGATAGTGACTCTGATTGATTCACATATTGTATTGACATGCATATGACTGTTGACATTGAAGTTTTCAGTCTTCAATATTTGAGTGAGTCATGCTTTGGAAATGAGAATAAATTTCTATTACCCAACCTTTGAGCTGTTTCGTTTTTCATTTACCCAACCTTTTACTCACTCAAAATTTTGTTTACCCAACCCTTTTCTCTTCGGTGCCACCCCCCGCCATAAATAATGACCGGTCCCTAATGTCACTGTCCGTTCATACACTCTCTTTTGCTTCCGACTTGGTTTCCTGGTCTTGATCCATATCTACTGGTACTAATAACGATAATCGCTGAGCACTTCGTGACACAATGACAGCCTCGTTATGTCCTTTGTATTTTTGTACCTTTTCCCCAATTTGAAAATTCTTGTACATGACATTTACTCGACGAACTTTTCCGTCTTGACTGGGAAACACTTCTTGTACTATACCTAAACGGTAATCTCCTCGCAAGGTATTACGGTCGGCGATTATTACAACATCTCCTGGGCGCAGGTTACGGTTGGCTGTATTCCACTTGCGACGAATAACCAAGGCTGGGGCGTATAACTCCGTCCATTTCTTCCAGAACTCGTCTGTCACGATCTGGACAACATGATAACGCTTTCCTGGATTATTACCGTTAGGCTGCCATCCACCAGGATTCTTCGCCGTTGCTCTGCCCAGTAACAAGCTGTTGGGAGTAAGGATGTTTAATTCGGAATCAGCGCTCGGGAGGGTTCCGATAGGTCTTTCATTGAGGAGGTTCGTGGCTTCGCTACACACCGTCATGAACTCTTGGACTGAAAGACGTTGGTTATTGATTGCGAAATGAATAGCTCTCTTGGCACTCTTCACCAGGGATTCTACAGCTCCTTGGTACCAAGGACTATCAGCGGGGCGAAGATCCAGGTCAATCCATTCTCTGTGCCACTTTTATGTAGGGATTGTCGGTCAATGCTCTTCCAGGTTTCCGTGAGTTCTCTTTCCGCACCAATTAGTTGTGATCCGGGATCACTATATATGATTTCGGGCCAACCACGAACACTGACGAATCTGCTGAGGGCCATTAGGAATGATTCGGTATCGTACCCGAACACAGCTTCGATGTGGACTGCTCTCTTAACTAGATCTGTGAAGATTACTCTGTACGCTTTACCACTTGTTCTTTTCTGTACTTCTCCACGAACCGAGTAGGGTCCGAAAAGGTCTATCATAACGTGGTTGAAAGCTGGAGCTGGTTTCAATCTTGCTTCCGGTAGTTGTCCCATTTGCTGCTCGAGGAACTTTGCTTCTCGTAGCTTGCACATCTGACATTTACTCTTGATTGATTGAGCGAGTTTGCTTCCTTGGGTTACCCAGTAGAGTTGACGGAATCGTGCTAAGGTTGCATCACGCCCTCTATGACCAAAAGTGTGAGCTCGTTGCATGAAGAGTCTGGTAACATGATGTCGGTAGGGCAATAGCTTTCGCAGCGAAGAATCCACTGTCATGGGATTTTTGTTCTTCAGGCGCTGTCCACTACCCAGAGTCCACTTTCATCTTGGACTGGATTCAAACAAGCGAAACGACCACCTTTTCTGCCTTTGCGGTCAGTTTTTGTCAGTTCACTTTCAAATGATTTCCGAACTTCTTTAACATTAAAGTTCTCGGCTTCTTGTAATTGCTTATTCCTTGAAAGAGTAAGTGTGTCCGACAGTAGGCACTTATTACAGCGACATCCACCACATTGTGGAGAAATTTCGGTGGCAAGTTCTTCTTCTTGTATAAAATTGTCAATCTGGCTTTCGTCCTTTCGGTGACTATAGGAACTCGATACATTAACAGAACATTCTCTGGTATGGTTGGGATGGAATTCTGGATGTGAGTCCAAGCGTGTCTTGTATGTCTCCACTTTCACGTTAACATCGTGTATTTTCTTTGCGAGATTTGGTGTCATATCTTGTTTCTTCGATCAGATCTGGATGGGCGCCTTGGAGGCAAATCCCCAATGCTCCATTCATGATACTTAGATTGTCACCACATCTAGCTTCTTCTTGCTTTGAATGGAGACCAAAGTAATCACAGCCCAGCAGGACATCCACGTGTGTTGACTTTCGCTGGAGTGTTTCAGGATCATATTCTGGAAATAACTTGACCAGGACTTTAGGATCCAGTTTGCTTACTTGTCCGGTAATTCGCTCCATGCCAAAGGCCGTAATAGTGACTTTCTTTCCAGCACTTGTGTTGATTGGAAACTCGTATTGCCACGTGTTGTGTGTTTTCTCGACATTTCCCATAGTTGTCACGTCAAGAGAGAGTTTTTTTAACTTTCTTTGCTTTGATTCTTTCCGCAGCACGATGAGTGATATAACTTGCGTTAGAGCCTCCATCACAGAAGACGGACACTTTTCTACCACTGTCGCTAATGGTCGCTTGGTGGATAGGGTATAGTGCCATTGAATCACTTCCTACGGTATAGGATGCTACTTCCTTGTTCCCATCATCTCCAGTTTTCGATTTCTCCCCGGAATCTTTTGGGAGCTTTGGTGGGATGCACAGCAGGGAATGATGTTGGTCACTTCCACATGAGGAACATGGGAGTTTTGGGGGGCAGTTAAGCTTCCTATGATTACCAAAACATTTGAAACAAGCGTTTACCTGCTTCAACAACTCATATCTGCCATCTTTACCGCTGATGGACAACTTCTGGAATTCTTTGCACTGTTCGGTGGTGTGATTTATGGTGTCTTTTCTGTGGGTGGGGAAGGGACACTTGTAGTAGGTTCTTTGTCCGTGTTTTGCACCTCTTTCAACATGATAGGTTTTGCTGTATCCTCTTGCATTGTCATTTCCTCTTTCCGTAGAATGCTGATTCTCTGCTAAACGAGCCACAACTGAACGTTCTCTGTCTAGGAACTTCATTAGCGGAGTAAATGGTTGAAGCTTCTCCTCAGACGATAAATCACGATACTTTCGTCTCCAGTCGACTTTAAGATGGGTAGGTAACAAATCAGTTAGGTTGTCTACATCTCGCATGGTTAAAGTGTTTAGCTGGTTGAGCTCTTCCAATTGACTGTAGGCAGATTCAACTTCATCCACTAATTCAAACAGAGCTTTATAATCTTCTTCTTTTACAGGTTTTAGTCTTTGAAGATCTTCCAAAGCAGCTTGTACACTGGCAGTAGTATCTCCATAGTGACACTCTAGCTTATCCCACATGATGTCGTAAGCTTCGGACTTGGTGACAAAAACAGATTTGATGCGGTGTTTGGCTTCTCCTTTAACTGAGTTCTTAAGTTCGTGTGCTAATGCAGTTTTATTATAACTTGCAGACTCAGCCATCGACTTCCAGACTGCCTTGAACTCTGGCCAGTCTTTCCTAAGTCCGGAGAATGTGGGTAGGGCCATCCTTTTTAGCCGAAGGGTGGAATCTTGGTGGGAAGGTCTTGTATTAATCAACGGGACTGTGGGTTGATGTCCAGAAAACTTTGTGTCCTTCTTTTTAAATAAGTTTTAATTAACCATACTTTGCTTCTATAACGGTCTCTTACTATTATACTGTTTTACGACATGTTTTTTAACTTTTTAAAACTCACAAGTTGTATTTTTCAAGTCATTTTTGAGAGTTCGCAACACTGAGTAGTTGTCAACAAGGCCGAGGCGAAATGTCGCCATTCAAAGGAAGCCATTTAAACTCTCATTTCGTTAAAGCGTTATTATTTTACATAAAAATCAAGTGAAAAATTCCGTTTTCTTTATGTGGTTTGTACTAAAACAATTAGCTAATACTAAAACTATTCGCTCAGTCATAGACAACTTTGCTTCGTTGTCTAATTGTTAAATAATATAATATAGAGAGTAAATTATAAACATAACTACATAAGCATGATAGATGTAAGATAACGAGTTTCACAATCCCATTTTAAATACCACTATGGATTTTGGCAGTTTTGCATCCGATATGTGTTTTTTAAAAGCCCCATTTTCTTACTTCGTGTGAAACGCGAAAAAACGTTATTAATAATAACAAAAATTTGTAATAGTAAACAGTGTATTTTATTATAAAGGATTTTCGTTTTTCTACTGCTCCGTACTCCGTGTGCTTCGTGCTCCGTGTTTTACTAATAGCCCCCTTATATAACACGTGTATTCTTTCCTAGAGCTGTGGCTTCTAGGCCATCCGGGTCACGGTCATACATTGCATTGTGAACAAGGTACCTTGGAACATTAAGATTATGAACTTGGCGCCAGGGCCGTAGCTAGGATATATAGTTGGGGGGCCATAAATTTCCGAATGACAAAAAAAAATTCCGAATATTACATGGCATACAAAGCCACGAATTAGGTGTTTTCTATCCGGAAAATGAAGACGCAATTTACCAATAAAAATACACATATTTTACGCACAGACATATTACAGAAGCATGCAGTGCCGTAGGAAGCTTTTTTTTATTGGGGGACTGAAAGAAATTTTTAAATTTAGAGTCTCTGAAATGCCATTTCCTGGACTTTAGGGAAGGTTTGACAAAATTCTGATAGTCAGAAAACAGCGTTTTAGTATATCGAAATTTCCAATTTGCTTACAATTTAGTAGCACTAAATCGGGCGAAGGCGTATTTAATTAACCGTGATATATTGGAGAAGTCGCAGGAAAGTAGGATCATGTATATAGCCGCTTAAAATTAATTGTCAGTATTTTAAAGGTATATTATTCAAATCATAAAGGTCTGCATGATTTTGAAAAAAGAGTAATTATTAGCAAATTATTGGGAGGGCTGCAGCCCCCCCCCAGCCCCCCTCCCCGATTGCTACGGCCCTGAGAAGTAATAAACCGAAAAACATTTACCGATTTACGATTTGTTAATAATTAAATGTTTTCCATGTAAATGCCATGATTTCGTAAATCAGTTTATACTGACAATACAATTATATTATATTTTCTTTGCTTTTCTAAAATTTTGTTATACTATTCAACTGCCGTAATTTTCCGAATGGCCAACCCGATTTTCCAAATATGTTAATTCTAAAAAAGTTGGGGGGGGGGTTAGCCCCCCCCCAATACCCCCGCTACGGCCCTGCTTGGCGCATTTTTTGGTGCATAGGACGATATCCAAGCAGTTTACCAGGTCCATCTAATTCCTCTTGCACAGCGGCCTAAACTTGCTCCAGATCTACGTTTCGGTTGATGTATTGAATATTACTAGAAAATACATGCATGCAGAAACCCTCGCCTTGCTGGCAAAACCGTTGTATTTTCCGAACATGAAGTTTCTAAAGTAGTTGTCATGGTAACACGATAATTTTTTAAGAATATTCTTACAAATGAAAATCGCCTAAAAATATCACTTTTAATTACAAAATTGTCAATTTCCCAACATATATATGTTAGGTATGTAATTATACGTAATACAAGCTTCAATTTAAGGTAAAATTCAACCACAAACAATTCACAAAACGTTTTAAAGTGTTCTTTATAAAACTAAACTGCCTTTAACTATTAAATGGCTTTATCGATAAACTTTGAGTTTCAGCAATAAAATGATTTCAAATTCTCGCTTGCAAATAACTTTGCTTTATTTTTTATTTAAAAAATTCAATATAATAAAAAAGGGAATCAATATTAAAGATACACTGAAATTATATGCTGCCTTGTTTAGTTGTTTTATATACGCAAAGGCCGTCGGGTTTTAAAGCCATTATAAAATTATTAAAATCAATATTTAAAACAAACTTACCTTCGTCAACGTCGGCTCCCTTCTTTTAGCTAATTCTTTCGCCCTTTCTTTCTTGAAATTAACAAAATCTTGCAGAAATACGAGCAAAAATGAAGAATATTTGCAAGAAATTTATCAATCATCAACTCATCAAAGACATCAAATCAAGAAATGTTTGCTATTTCGCTGTCGTCATGCAGTCGTTATAATGCAAACTTTGAATTGGACCAATCAGTGTCCGTTATTCATGACAGTCCGCCATATTTTTGAGATCAGTGAGGATGACCACCCATCGTTGGTGACCGACGCCCGCGCTCATTGATGAACTTTAGACTTTAGACTTCGCTAATGCTTTCGTTTCCCCGGGTGTAAATAGCCGGGGGGAATTAGTACCCTCGCACGGCGCTTCGCGCCGCCGGCTCGGGGAAAATGACGAAGGTGTCTGTCGAGACTTCGGAGACTCCATTGCCCCATTGCCCATTGGTATTGTGAATAATCTAGCCTTAACAAAAACTTAAAATTTCCGATCTTTTTAGGTTTTCACGCACATACTTACGCAAGTCGTCTTCTAATGCCGTGTCGTTATCCCATCCTCTATATTTATACTCATTTTTGAATTCGTTAAAAACTAAAAATATGTAAACCACTAGGGGGCCATTCACAAAGGATGTCCGAGCCGAGGGGGGGAGGGGGGTTTGGAAAATCAGGACAAACTCGGACATAGGGGGGGGAGGGGGGGGTTTAGCAATCCGGATGTCCGAAATTTAAAAAAATTCAAAAACAAATTTCTTTTTCCCTCTATTTTGAGCAGTCCTTCCCATTGTGAAATTGGCATTTTGACTATGCGGTTAACACTAGATTTTGTTTTAATTAGTAATTTATATGTTTTTGTGTTCACATTTACAGTTATAAAAAAGTTCTAAAAGTAAAAAAGTTTTTTACTCTTGATATATACAAGGTTGCGTGAGTTTTTGCGAGGCATGGCGGATGTCCGGGGGGTCACTAATTCGGACAATGCCGGACAAGGGGGGGAGGGGGGGTCTGAAAATCCATCATTTGGCCGGACATCCTTTGTGAATGGCCCCTAGAAAACACGTTCGTGGAAGTCCGCCATATTATTATGGGATAGTAGCGAAGAAGGCTGGGCACAAGTTGGAGCAAAGGATTGTGGTATACTGTTGGCAACGCTAGGCCGCTAACGATAAAAAATTTTATTAAAATATTTTTTAAATATTTTGTTTTCTAAAATGAAATGCTTTTCAATTATAAATAAAATTAAATTGAAACAAAAAACTGAATTGAAAATTTATTAGCGAGTGACAAATAAATTATAAAAAATAAATAGTTAAATTGACTTTTTTGTGTTGGCAGTTCTGGGTCACCATACTGCTGTTAGCTAATAGGGAACTGTAGTTTTGACGATTGTTTCGTTCAGTAATGAGGCTTTACGAATACGTTTAGGTGGTTCGGTGCATGGTAGTTGTTAACTAATAGCGAGTTTACGATTTACGACGCGGCGAGAGAAGACGCGCTAGAGAGGCTTGGTAACTAGCGCCGTCTTATTCTGTTCCCTATACGTTACGAAGCACAACACGCTAGCGTAAAACGTTTATTTTGGCGGGAAAATTGTAGCTTATTCAAACTTTTTGTAATTTTTGTTTAAACAATGTAAAGCCAGGTATTCGATGCTCACTTGAAATTCGCAGCGTAGTGACTACAACGTGAAATTGACAGAATTCCGTCGTAGAATCGTCGACTACGCGTTGGAATTACACAAGACGCATAGGCTGCGCTAGTTACCAAGCCTTTCTAACGCATCTTCTCTAGCCGCGTCGTGAATCGTAAACTCTTTAATGTAGCACACTCGTGCATGCGCCTGTCCTCTTGTTTGCAGGTATTAAGTGGCCTAGTGGCAGTTATGGTCTCCCCAAACCTAAATCAGGATGTCCAAGTGGTAAGAACAATGACTGGGTTGAAGGCTGGAGATTTCAGGATATGGAAGATGACGCCGATAAGAGCACAAGTGAGCGATCAAAAGTATCCAGTGGGTCGCATATGGACGTGACATTAGTTGGTAATAAAAAAGATGTGAACAGAACATTCTGTATGAAGCAAAACACTAGAACACAAACGAAGTATTGGCCAAAAGGTAAGTTTCTTCAGTTTAACTGTAAGTGTATACATCTGCTGATTACACCTAATTATTAATACATGTCGGTCTAGAAGTTGCGTGTTCGCCAAGTATGACGTACCAATTAACATTTACATAACTGCATGTCGCGGGTCGCGTATCTCGGGTAAAAAGTCGTCGGTTGGAACAGTCTTAAAAATTTATTTAATATATATTATTATTTTTTATTTGTGCATGCCTAGTGATATTTTTGATATCCTGCAATCTGATTGGCTTTACGATATCTTGACTCCGTGGTGCAACAATCTTGACTCCGTGGTTTTTAACGACAAATAGAGGAGCGAAGACAATTTTCAAACTTAAAACACTACCCGAAAACCCCGAAAAATCCACGCCATCAGTGCTATCGATGCTAAAGATAGTAAAACACAGTGAACTTCAATGGACTTAGGGCCTGTTCATATAGGGAAACGTTATCCCGGTTAGCGAGAAAACATTTCGACTAGCCAAATAATTTTGTTCTGTTCATATGAAGAAACGTTATCTCGCTTGCCGGGTAAAGTTTCCGGCTGTGACGTAGCACTGGTGTGACGCGCAAGGCGGGAAAAGTTAAAAAACTTTGAAAAGTTGCTGACCCGACAGAAAGTTGTGGATATGCTGTGTTCATATGGGAAAAACATCCCGGTTACCGAGATCTCGCCTGTCAGGTACACGGGAAAACTTTTCGTCTCATATGAACGCAGTGTAACTTTTCATATTATTTTCATAACAAGGCGAGATCTCGCTTGTAATCCTGTCGAAATATTTCTCGCTAACCGAGGTAACTTTTTCCCATATATGAACAGGCCCTTAGTGCCAAGCCTAAAATGTACCTTTCTCCGACTAAAATGTGAAAAATTAAACAAATGTAATATATCACGACACGCAAGCAGTATAAACAAATCACTTTATTAAATCCTATTCTAGTTCCCTGCACTCAATGCACTATATTCTTGTCCTGTATATTGTCTAGTAATCCAGTTTGTTATTGTCATCCGATATCCTTTCTTGACCCTTGCACGCGACCTTTATTAATAATTAGACACCTTCGTATACTACATTACCCTCCCCTTAAGTGAGAGCGTCCTCGATCTCAAGCTCATCTAAATTAAAGTCCTGGTAACGCTCAGGTGGTCGGCGCTGACTGCCTTATCTTATCTGCCATCTCCTTAGAGGTACCATGTTCGTTGCCTCAACTTCCTTGTGAACTATCGGTGATTCAGCAACTCTCTGCTCTTGGTTTTTCTCGCTCTTGGTCGACAATGGAGATGGCATGTCTTGCTCGTTAATGTCATCCGTCTGATTCTGTACCAGCTTGAGTCGATTGCGGTACACACACGAGCTCCTTCCTTTTCCCGATTTTGGACGAATCACATAGTTTAAACGTCCTTGACAACGGAGTATGACGTACGGACCAATCCACGGTTTGTGGAACTTTCTACTGCGTCTTTCGGTATGACAGTGTTATGTAACCATACAATGTCTCCGGGTCTCAGAATTTCTGTCTGATGAGCAGTGTTACGTGCATCATAATTTTGCTTTTGCTGGGTCTGTGCTTTCTTGATTTCCTCAGCAACCGTCGCGTGGACCTTTTTCAGCGTAAACTCAAGTTCAGCACAGTAGTCGGCAATCAACCGGGTCTTGGGCTTCTCCGTGCTGCCCAGTAACACGAGTGGCGTAGTAGCATCTCTCCCATAAACTGCTTTAAATGGAGATACGCGTGTCGAGGAATGGACACTTGTTCGATATGCGAATAAAGCCAAGGGTAAATGTAAATCCCAGTCGTTGTGATGACCATTTACGTAAGACGAGATTATTGCTTTCAGTGTACGGTTGAACCGCTCCACTTGGCCGTCAGTCTGTGGGTGATATGGTGATGTCCGCAACTTGTGAACGCCCAACAGCTTGAATACTTCTTTCATGGGCTCCGACTCAAAGTTTCTACATTGGTCAGTGAGGAGTTTCACAGGAACGCCATGTCGAGACACTACGTTGTCAATAAACGCACGAGCTACCGTCTCTGCTTTCTGATCTAAGTCTAAGCATATTCTGTTTCAATTGTTTCTTAAAAGTGATAAACTACTGATGTCTTTACATTTACAATCTGAGTCGTTCCATAACTTTGTTGCACGGAATTTGAATGTCCTCTGCATGTCCAGAGTTTGTCTTGAAAATAGGTACGTCTAAATCTTTCATGTTAAGGCCCATCTACACGACACGACTAGTCGTACACACTGACGCCACTATTCCTGTTCATCAGTTTATGGCGAGGTTTAAAATTTGACATTTTTACACGCATTTATTCGAGTACATACGCCAGGATAAGAATCGTATACGACCAGTCGTATCGTGTAGATGGGCCTTTACGTGAATTTCACGATCGTGAATACTGGAACGGGTGGAGAATTTTGAGATATCCTGGTGCCATGTCATTAAGACATTTGAACATTATTAATCAGTCTCTATAACGTAAATGATCTTTTACAGGAAGCCATCCCAGTTCTTGCAATGCACCTGTTATTATTCTTACTGAAAAGTTTTGTACCAATTGCAATTTTTTGATGTTTGAATCAGATATATTGGCCCATACCGTCGAGCAGTAAAATAATTTACTTAAAACCAATGACTCTATAATTAACTTTAAGGTGTCTTTATTAAAACAATCCTTTAGTCGGTAAATTGGACATAACTTCGACATACATGTTGATACAACTTGATACTTAGTTGTATGTCCATCATAATATGCGGAATCAAGGAATTACGCCAAGGTCACTAGCAGAAGCTAAGGCAATAAGGTCCTCACCGAGAAGGAGATGGTTGGCTCAATTGCTACACTACGTTGTAATTGTCTTGTTCCAATTATTAAAAATTTGGTTTTACCAGGATTGATTAGAAGTTTAATATGTTCGCAGCACCAACGTGCAACGTCAAGTAGGTTTTGTCTCATCTTTCCAAGAGCTATATTTGCGTCTCGAATTAAAAAGGAAAGGAGTAATTTCGAATCATCGACACAAGATTCAAGTTGACACGTCGGGGTGATTGATGGAAAATCATCTATATCAGTATATACAAAAGAACAAGGGGGAAAGGACGCTTCGTGTGGGACTCCATGTGTAACTGGAAGTTGTGACGAAATAGTAGAACCAATCCGCACCACCTGACTTCTCCCCGATAAATAGCTTACGAACCATTTCACCTCTGTTGGTGAAGCGCCAACATTGGCCAACTTATGTAGAAGGATTTTGTGATCAATGCTGTCGAAGGCCTTCGACAGATCTAATAAAACCATTGCCGACAACGTTTTTTTTTATCCATTGCTGCCAATATTTCGTCAGTTACTGCGACATTGAGTGTCTCGGTTGAATGGCATTTCTTGTTGCCGCTCTGGTGAGATGTGAGCCTTTGCTTAGAAAATAAGTAACTGTTGAACTGTTTTAGAACAATCCTTTCACAAATTTTTGAAACTATTACAAGAAGTGACAGCGGGCGATTATTACATGGGATCTCATGATCACCTTGATCAACATTGACGTTTTCCAATTCGTTGGAAAGGTAGCGGACATTAACGAACTATTGATGATGTTAGTTAATGACGGTAAGATGATAGATAAATAATCTTTAAGTACACGTGTTGGAATGTAATCGATACCGGGTGATTTGTTTAATGGCATGTCCGATACAATACGTTGAACTTCCGTAACAGAAACATGGTCAAAGTGAAATTGATCATCTACTGGGTAAATCGTGGTACATGTTAGGGGGTCGGTCAATTGAAGATTATGTTCATTAGCAATTTTCTCAGCTGCAAGGGCGGTAGACGAGCCTACGGAAGTAAAATAATGGTTGAATTCATCTGCCATCAATGATGTATCCTTTGCGTAAGTAAGCGTGTTTCTATCCTTTGAAGGGATACAATTGTTAATAATTTTCCATAAAGAACCAGAGTTATTCTTATTCTTTAATGTTTCCGTCATATAGTAATCCTTTTCAGCTTGTCTTAATGCAGACCTAACTAGCTTACGAGAAGCTACGATCGTTTTAAAGGATTGTTGTGGTTTAGGAACTTTCATTCTAACAATAGCATAAACTGTGAGGTGGTCGCTAATACAGTTACTAAGGACACTGCTTGACTTAATCAAAGAAGGTGAAGATGTCATTATAACATCCAGTAATGATGCACGTTTGTTGGTAACTCTTGTATGGTCTTCGATAACTTGTGTTAGGTTTGACTCAATTATGAATGTCTGTAATGCTTAACAATCCCGTACTGTTTTTATTCATCAAATTGCAATTAAAGTCCCCAAGAATAATTATAGGTTTCTGTTTTAATAACGCTCTAGTATAATTCGGTTTAAGTAGGGAGTCAGTCAAAACAATCAAGGGGACAATCAGGGACTCCATAGACGATGCAGATTACGACAGATTTGTTTTTATTATACTGTCATTGAATCCAAAATTGATGGAAGCTGGAATCCGATATAAACGACAAATCTTTTATCACGGATGCTTTGATATTGTGGCGACTGTAGGCGCAAACTCCGCCCCCTTTCTTCCGCAGACGATCCAATCTAAATAGTTTGTAACCTTCAATTGCTATTTCGTAGTTTTTAGTGTGAAGTTTCACTTCACACTATTGTGATGGCTGGCGAATTCACACGAATCAGTCAAACAGTCAGTCAGTCAGTCAGTCAGTCATAGAGTAAACTTTCCGGGGGGTGTATACGATTTATGTTCGTAGTGATTTATTGTACTTAGTCAGTACTTTGAAGGTTATTTAGGCAATTTCAGTTAACTTATTTACATATTCTGTTATCCTTTTGCCAAGTTCACAAAAATTTAGAGGAATCGCTTTCGTTATTGTAATTTTTTGTAAATTTTAGGACATTCGCTTCTCATGTTGTGTAAAGGATCTTTACCCCGGAACACCCGATTTTTTCTTTAGTAGCGCAAATGCGCATGCGCTATCAAGCCGTAGATCACGATGGCGTGACGATATGCTAGGAAGGGGTGACAGTGTTGTTTTCAAATGTATAAAAGATTTCAGACGTGAATATTGAGTAAATCTTTGAAAATCTACGCAATATATAAATTGATCTTATGCATTACGGGCGTTCAATTAAGTGCCGATAATATTTAGACGGTATATTCATTATACAGAGCTAGGAAGGAGCTAGACCGCCTAGACAGTGCAGTCAAGTGTGTAAACATTTCAGACGTAAATATTGAGTCGAATATCTTGATTCTAGGCATTCATTTGAGTGCCGATATTATTTTCACGGTATTCTCATTATACAGAGGTACAGTACGTAGGCAGAAGCGAGACAGTGTTGTTTTCAAGTATATAAAGATTTCAGACGTGAATATTGAGTAAATCTTTGAAAATCTACACAATATATAAATTGGTCTTATGCATTACGGGCGTTCAATTTAATAAGTGCCGATAATATTTAGACGGTATATTCATTATACAGAGCTAGGAAGGAGCTAGACCGCCTAGACAGTGCAGTTAAGTGTATAAACATTTCAGACGTAAATATTGAGTTGAAAATCTTGCTTCTAGGCATTCAATTGAGTGCCGATATTATTTTTTCACGGCATACTCATTATACAGACGTACAGTACGTGCAGGCAGAAGCGAGACAGTGTTGTTTTCAAGTATATAAACATTTCAGACATGAATATTGAGAAAATCTTTGAGATTCTACGCAATAATAGTAATACAATATATAAATTGATGTTATGCATTACCGTCGATATTATTTAGACCGTGTATTCGTTATACATTCTCATTGACTGTATAAGGTGCTACATCACAGAATAGATGGCTATACTAAGTACAAAGAGCGAAAAATTGCATCAGATTTATATCAGATCAATAAAGCATAAACAACTATTAAACAGAAGCGGGTAAACGTTTGTACGGCGTTTACGAAGAAAAAAACTTACGAGACTAAAGGAATCAGTTGAGTCAGAGCTCCTTGTATAAATAAGAAAGACGAGGAGATAGCCAACGTGTTTATGTGTTATCGCCAACGTGTTATCGCTAATCGCTTAATTGGCTCGCCAACAAGCTTTATGCAATAGAAGAAAAAAGCAAGGAGGTACATGTAGCCAACGTGTACATTCACGGACCTTGTCCTTGTTTAATACTGTCTAGTGTCTAGCACAACGCCGTTGTCAACGGTGCAAACTCGTATTCAGTGCAACGATAACTCTACCAGATCTTACGAGAATCAATCTGTAGTATTCTGTACACAGAACTGTATCAAAGCTTGTCAAAAATGTTTTAAACACTGCTATAACTGTGAAACTATTGAAATCTAAAGTGATATTTATATTCAACACATGCGAAAAGCTGAAAATAGACACACGTCACACTGGGAAAAGTCAAAGGTCAATGAAACTTGTTATTGTGAAACATTGTCACAATTAATTTAAAATGCGGAAGCGGATGGAGCGGATCCACGGAACGGATATGCGGATAAAATACGGAACGGATGAGGATAAAATGCGTCTTTTAATGATGTAACGACGTAGTGCTTATTATTCATAACATATCTTATACAGCTATTTCAATTATAGTTTATTAGATAAATTTAGCATAGCAGTAGCCTCGTGGGGATGCTTTCAGCGACAGCTGCAAATGCAATTATGAAAATTTAGAATATGCAAAATTTGGTTGTTGGTGACACAATAAATAGATGAATTGCATCAGTATCACAAGGCACGTTTCTGATGTATTAGGCTTGTTTCAAACGTCACGCTACTTGTGTGCCGAGCGTATTAAAAGCAAAAATAATTAGATGAAATCTAGTTTCATATTAATCTGACACTGCAATCGAGCAACGAACAATTCGATGGCTCGAGCGGGATTTGAACTCGCATCTTCGGGTATCTAGACCGCCGCTCTACCTATTGAGCTATCGAGTCAACAGGGATTGGTAGCGAGTCTTATCCAATTTAAGTGCACGAAATATTTTCGTGACGACTTAACGCTTGTCTTTGAGGACGCGCAGTGTTTCAATTCTATTTCAGAACCATCCTCAGAGATAGGAAAACTAGTTTCATAGATGAAATGGTAAAACTAGTTTCATTAGATGAAATGGTAACTGTTTATTTCGTAGTGTAAGCCATCAAGCTTTTCTAGGTTGTCGGCGACCCTATATAGTTCTTGCAGTGTCTTTTTAAATTTGAAACTTCACACTATCCTTGGATCCCTAGTTAGTAGTAGTGTTTAACCACGTTTCGGAAAGCGTGAGAACGTCGACATTGTTTAATTTTATAAAGTTAGTTATTTCAATAAAATGAGTCTTATTTTTCAATGATCGAATCATGACGAGCCAGTCAGCTCCAGGTTCGCAGCTCCAGGTTCGCAGCTCCAGGTTCGCAGCTCCAGGTTCGCAGCTCCAGGTTCGCGAACCTGGAGCCAGCTCCAGGTTCGATTTCAACCTGGAGCCGGAACGACTAGTTTGTAAATAAACTGCTTTGGCCGCTGAACCACTAATGGAATCAAATTTTTTTGAAACACAATTTTTACCTGTCACATTCCTTAGTACGTGAGGGAAAATGAAGACATTCCGTCCCGTTCGTCCATGGTAGCTTGTGAAAGATCACTGTTTTTTCTGACAAAGGGGCTGGTCAGCGGTGGGATAGATCGCAAAGCTCGTTTAAAACCTTATTGTTAGTGTAAAGTTTCACTTTACACTATTGTGATGAGTGGGAAAATTCACACGAATCGGTCATTCAGGATTGGCGGAGCTCTCATTGACACGTCCTGTCGCCATACTGTCAATTTCGACAATATGGCGACAGGACGTGTCAATGAGAGCTCCGCCAATCTGAGCCAAAATCTAGCTGAATCTTTACTAGATTTTGTAAACGATGACTCTTCTAGCATTTGGGAAACTACTAACACAAAACAAACAGAACCTATTCTGCTAGAAAATAGTAAAGATCGTTGTTCTGACAACAACAGCGATTTTGAAGTCGAACACAGTTTAATTCAATGTAATGGCTCACGACTCCTAGAACATTTACAACTAAATGGTAGTCGATTACTATGGAAAGGAAGCCTAGAAATGCTTAAGAACCTTATGAGTGAGCTGTTACATGAACAGGGCAAGTGGTCTTCGCTTGGAGGTGGAGCGAAGCGATTTAAGAGTGTCGAAGGCCGTTTCGAAATGGTACGGTGCGAGGCAACAGTCTCTTACATGGTACGGTGCGAGGCAACAGTCTCTTACATTTAGTGGAGAAGACGGACAGGTAATGAAAGATACACTAATAGCCTTGATTGATAGGGAACTATCTAAAAAGACAAAAAGTCAAAAGGATATCCTACGGGTTGAATTGAATAGAAACTCCGAAGGCGAAGCTTCGGCAACGCATATTAATGAAGGTGATAGTTTCGGTTCATTGAGTAGCGTAGTTAATGCCTTGAAAGCAAAGATGAATAGATTTAGTTTCAAATCAGTATGCCCCACTCACGATTGATGAACCAGAAAATGACGAAGTTATTGAATATTTACCGGCTGCGAGGTCTGGATGATAAACACTGTACCCGAGGTCTTGAAAGACCGAGTGTTACGCCCTCTCAGTCGTTTATCTTGGGTGGCTATGCTTGTTAGTCGTCCGCTTTTAGGAACGTGACACTCGCCAAGTGGCATGCTTACAGTCGGCACACAAGTTGTAAGTTTTGCTTTATTTTGTATTGCTATATTAGTATGTTTTGAATTTCCTTTTGTAATTTTAGCGTATTTTGTTTATATTGTAGTTTGACGGTTCGTAGAAGATAATATAGTACATTTTCAAAGTCCTGTCGTCACAGTTGTTGTGTATCTATAGCTATAAGATAGCTTGATTGGTTATCGGCCATAAATCCATACGAGCCGTAAGACATGTGTCGTATTTACACTACCAAGACGTACGGTAGATACAGTCAAAGACTTGTCTATATATAGTAGCGAGAATATTCTACAATGAGCTTTCGTAGTCACGAAACAAGCGAAAATATCGAAAACCCGTTTGTAGAGCCGAGCGAAGCTATACTACACGATGCAAAACAAGATGCCTGCGAACAGGCAACTACAGCACAGGAAACCCGACAGCATAAAATGACAGAGAAAGGTAAGAGAATATGTCTGTTCGTTGAAAAGAAAAGCAGCCCTCGATATCAAGGAAGAGTTTTTGAAAGAACTGTTAATTTTGAGAAAAAGATTGCAGATTTCAATGGTGTTGTTGAACTTAATAAACAAATAACATTGTTATCAGGGAAAATGAATTTTGTTAGCAAGACCCTTGATGAATGGTTGAAATTATCCTTAGATGAGAATGAAATTCGTGAAGTCATAGAAATGCGTACATTTCTGTCCGATAAATTGTTGAGCACTCAGAGCTGGGCTCAAGAATATGCAGTGAAGTTTAGTCAGCAAAAGCAAGAAACAATTTCTACAACATCCCGACGAAGTAGTAGCAACAGCAGTCATATGCACCTTAGTTAACCTTAAAGCAAGAAAATAAGTACGCAACGCGTACATGTATCTGCCAAAAAACTTGATTCACATTTTGTATTTCCTTGAAAGGAACTGAATAATAAAGATGTAAAAGATGACATGGGACAAATGGGACAATTGAAATATTTCATCACTTATTATTATAATAAATATAATAGCAAATAAGACTTTAGCGGAGGGGCAGCAAGGACAACTGCCCCCCCCCCCCCCCCCCCCCCCCGCTGAGAAAATGTAACTAATTTTATAATGTGATTATGATTGTAACATAATTATGCAGTCAATGATGATAACAATATTTAATCAGGGACGTCCAACTCAGCATAGCTGGTTTAATGGAAACAATATTTGAAGTGGAAACAATATTTGAAGTGTCTATACAGCCAACAGCTGGCCATTTAGTGAACTGTCACTTGTCAAACCACGAAGTTTCAAAATTTTATTGTAATCATATGAAGCAAAAGTTCTGTCACTTGTTGTTAACACTTGCCAATGTTAGGGGTGCACTGGAACTAGGTTCCGGCGGAACCCTGATTTTTCAGAGTTCCGGTTCCTGCCGGAAGTAATAAAAAAACCGTGGCCAGAACCGGAACTTTATCCTTTTCAGAGAGATAGAATAATAATTATCAAGTTTATTTCCTGAATAGCATAGGACGAAATTTGGACTACACAAGATAATTGTACACTAGTACTATTAACACTTTATTATGACAATATTATGTCAATATTTTTATTCTAACATTTGCGTGCTCTCTCCTTGATGACTGAAGTGTCTGACTGTCTGGCGGCAGACAAAGTAACATATGACCATATATCACTTAATGAATCAGTTATGGTTCCGGCCGGAACTTTTTTCCAGTTCAAGCTAGATCCGGTTCCCCAGATTCAGTTCCGGCCGGAACTTTAAAAATTGGTTCCAGTGCACCCCTAGCCAATGTTAACTGTTGAGTAACATACACAAACTATTCGAGGAACATGCATTACTGTAGAAAAGTGTCAATCATATATTGAAGACCACTGAGTAGTAGAGAATGTTTTGAAGGTCATGAGTGAGGTATATATTAATTCAATTCCAATCCTGTGCACAGTTAATGATATACCACAAGTAACTCTTTCTGTTCACTTTAACACAACATACCCACACGAAAACAATTTGTGTTGTGGGAGAATGTCGGTTTGAGTAAAGGTATCACAAGTTTAGTTTTGTAGATTGTGTGCCATTGATCTGATCCATCCATATAATATCATTATTGTAGCTGTTAAGTTATTTTTCATACTAATGCAAGTGGGTTGTTCTGACAAAATTATCTAGCCAATATCCAGCTTATTCGTCATTCTTGTATTAATCTCTATAAAACAAAAACATTTATGTTAGAAAGCAAAATGACAATGTATGTAGAGAGGGTGGGGATTCTTTTACTGTCAGTAGCATTTGAAAATGTTTGTAAACATTTTGTTTAATTTTTAAACTCTAATAAAAGAGTATAAGTATTGTATAATATATGTATAAGTATTTTAACTGATAGCATCTTAACCTTTGCTCTATTAAACATACATAAATGATACATCTGAGAACAGCTTAATTGGACTGTTGTTTTGAACAGAGTTTAATACAGAAATACAGGGCCAGGATTTAATTCAATATCTGAGAACATTAGTTTCCTGTGATATTGTTCATTGGCAATATTGCCTTGCTGCCGAGGACGAATTTCTTGACAATACGCTATGTTTTGACACAATAAATGTTTTTAGTAATACTGTAGTCTGTATAGTCAGTATAGATGTAAATAATAAAATATATGGTATTTGACTTGACTACTTACCAGATGAGGATATTAAGTTCCCATGTTGATAGATAACTTCAGAATAATATCGCGAGTAGAATGGCAAAAACAAGACAGCCAATTCAAGATTAAAAATTTAATATCAAGATATTTCCGAAGCCAAAATGTGAAAATGGCAAAGAATATTCACGAATCACGAGGCCAAACGATGCCTGTAAGCAGGTTAGATGCAGGCACGATGTAAACAATCGATGTAAACTAATCGTTGATTGGCTTATAATAAATTATCATGAATTGGCTCAATTATATAAGCTCGGCGCTGAATGGCTATGTGTTAACATACGGTACGGTAACGGTACGTTTGCGATAGCAATATATCTGCTTCGCAGATACAAAAAGCAGCTTAAGGAAAAAGAATGCAATATTTTCGGCTAATATCAGAGCAGGAACGTAAACTTGAGCAGCTAAAGATGCAGGGAGAATTTGAGGAAGTCTCAGCACAAGAAAGTGTGTATGAAACGCTTACTGAAACGGGAAACATTTTGGGTACCATTTCGAGTCCAGCCCTGCCCACAGAGAAACACAATATCATGTCCACCACCTTTCTTGAAGAAGCCACCAACACAGAAAGAGTGCCTGAGGCCAAAGTGGAACCAGAAGAGCCACGCTAGAAACATCCCTTCCCCGAGGCACTGATCCAATCTCCATACCAACCTGTTGAGGATCGACCGGATTCATTATCAGAAATCGATAGTGTATCTCAAGTACAACCCCCACTCCACGCAGAACAACCCCCACCTCACATGCAACGCCCTTTCCATCCAGAACAACCCTCACCTCAAGTGCAATACCCTCTCCACACAGTGCAACCCCCACCTCAAGTGCAACGCCCTTTCCACGCAGAACAGCCCCCACCTCAAGTACAACGCCCTTTCCACACAGAACAACCCTCACTTCAAGTGCAGCGCCCTTTCCATCCAGAACAGTCTCCACCTCAAGTGGAACGTCCTCTCCACGCAGAACAACCCCCACCTCATGTGCAACGCCCTTTCCATCCAGAACAGCCCCCACCTCGAGTGCAACCCCCTGCACACAGTGCAACCCCCACTCCACACAGTGCAACCCCCACCTCAAGTGCAACGCCCTTTCCACGCAGAACAGCCCCCACCTCAAGTGCAACGCCCTTTCCACGCAGAACAACTCCACCTCAACTGCAGCCCTTATTTTCAAGTACAACCCCCATTCCACACAGTGTAGCCCCCACCTAAAGTACAGCCACCACTCCACGCAGCTCAGTTCCCACACTATGCAAGTGATCTACCCATTCCATTTAATTCCCCAGGTACCCTTGGGAGTCAGCCGAATCTCCACCCAACACCAATGACTCTTCACACCACACCACCACAAGATGTATCGAATCAGATAGCTGACGCCCTCGTATGCATAACCCAACAGCAGCGTCTTCCCCAGTAGTCTAGGACCTGTACATGAGTTTGTATGCGATTCATTTACATAGGCGTACCGGGCGGGGGGGCGGGGGGGGCGGCCGCCCCCCCAGTTTTTTGGGCAGTCGGGCAATATTCGATTAACAGTCGGGCAATTTTGGGTTGTAAAAAAAAAAAATCGGACAAATTATGTAATTTTTTCAAAAATTTAGTCAATTTTGGGGCAAATGTATTTTTTGGGAAAATTAATGTGATTCTGTCAAAAATTTGGTACGTCCGGAAAATTTTTTTGACCCCTAAAATGGTACACTGACCGAAATTTTTTTGGCGACGGGGGGGGGGGGGGTCGCCAAAAAAAATTTTCCGGGAAAAATTTTTTGGTACTAGTCGGGCAAAATCACGAAAAGTCGGGCAATTTTACGAAAAGTCGGGCAATTTTCTTTCCGCCCCCCTAATTTTTTCCTTCCGGTACGCCCATGTTCATTTAGGACAGGTAATCTCAACTGTTTTAGGGTAAAATGACCATGGCGGTCAACATGGCATATGTGCGAAAACCTGAATCCGGGACGAAAGTCCTGAAAATGACCCCGCCCTGAAACGACAGTGTCGACATAGCTCTAACTTCCAAAAAGGAAAAGCGATAGCCTTTCTGAAGTGCTTATAGTGTTTAGAAGGGTTGCTTTTAGGGGTGGTCATTGGAAGGAAAAATTTGTCGAAGTATAATATTTTACCAGAAAATGACTATGCACCACCCCAGGTAAATTGCTGATTATGCACAAAATAACTAATATGCCTGGCAGAAATTAAATATTCTTATTTCCTAAAAAAATTTTCATGGGGTGAAAAACTATGCTTAATTTAATATAAATATTGTTGATTTCATAAGGATTGTCATTGTTTTCTTTAAATATAATACATTTTATTTCACTTACCCCCCACGAAAACACGATTTCAGCCATATTTTGCCGTCTTGTTTGCTTTTATCGCCGAATCTCGCAAATATCATCCAGTTATTGTACTTTTACATAATCATAAATGGCTGAAGAAGATTTCAAAGAAGGTTTCATCCACTTTTGTAACAGTGCAGTGTATTTTATCTTCGATATTGTGTCCTTCGATATTTCGTCA